GCTGGTGCAGCTGTCTCCCCTGAAGGTGATTTCTCACTTTCCCTCTCTCCGTGTGCCCCCCTCCCCAAGAGCAGGCACCCTAAGGCAAAAACCTAAAAAACAACAACAGTGGAGAGACTACACAATACAGACACGGTTAGAGACACAGCCTTTCCCAGACAACTGCGGACAGGAATATACCGTTATATAAAAGCCACGAACACAAATCCGCACCCCTGTGCTAAGCACAGAGCAGAGGACCGCTGCTTCTAGAATGCGGTGTTACATTTTAGATGTCCACGGTTGAATGGTGGGAGAGGATGCTGGAGATTTAGCGCCAGTTAACAGTCCCTGTTTAAGGTCTCAGGACAGCCATGCCACGACGGGACCGCACCTCGCAGACTCCCAGGCAGAGGAGCTACCACTGCACCTGTCATGAAGAAGTCGCCCGATTCAGGCGGCGGGGGACTCGGGGGACTCGCGGTCCGCGCGTCCTCCCGGGCTGTGCGAGGCTGCCAAGGATCTAGATGATTTAATCCAGTTTTACGAAAGGGGTTTTACAGTGAGCAATGAAGGCACGGTTAAGGAATTAATCACTAATGAGTCATTAACTCTGCCACTATTGTGCAGCTAACAAGCTGAGACCAGATTATTAGAGCCGGTCCCCAATTAAGGGAACGACTTTGGCCACAAAGCGCGCTGTGCGTCGGAAAGGGCCCGGCGCGCCCGCCTGGCGCTGTCGAGCTTTCTCTTTCCCAGGCGGGCTAGACAGCACCAGAGGCCGAGCGCGGCCCGCGCTACCCAGGCAAGGGCAAGTGCCCACCTTCAATCACTCTCTGTCTGCCGAAGGTCTTTTCCTGCCTGCCTCCAGGAGGTTTGAATTGACCCGACAAAACCAGGAGTGGGTCAGGGGTCTGTGGTGGAGGGCCGCGCGGGTCCAAGGTGGATCGGGGGAGCGAGGCACGAAATTCCGAAACCGCCCCAGCTCTTGTGTCTCCCCGAGACTGTTCTTACCGAGCGGCTGCAGGAAGGACCCGCGCTCTGCAGAAGCGGCCTGGGGCGCCCTGAGGGGTCTGGCTCTGCACCCGGCCTCCGGTGGTCTCCGCACAGACTTTCAATTAATCGCCTAGAATTGAACGGAGAGAAGGGGGAATAGCATTCCATCTCTCCCCTCACCCGATTCTAGATTAATCCGGAGGAAGAGCTGGGGACGGGCAGCAATCATCCCCTCTAGTGTGACACTTCCCATTTCCCCAGACTCTAAACGGATGTTTGAAACGAATAAATACAGCAGGTGGCCCGCCGCCCCCACGGGGTCTGGGGCAGTTCGTCCGCCCCATCTCACCCACACCACCCTGTTCACTCTTTCTTTCGGGAAGCCCAGGTGGGAGTTCGGAGAGCCATGAGTGACAAACAGCCTGAAGCAGCCTGGGACTGCAGCGCGGAACCCCCGGGGCTCGGAGCGAGGCCTCTGCGGTCCCGCGGCTGCTCTCTGGACCCGTTGGCGACGGCGGAAACGGATCCCTGGGTCTCCGGGGTTTTCCATAGAGAAACTGGGCAACGAGTAACATCAATAGAGGCCAAGGGCCACAGCGCCCACTATGGACACGCCGCCAACGCACTCAGGGGGAGACTCCCCAAGAAAGGGAAAAACGCAAAAGCAGAACCGCCCCTACTGCGCAGGGGTGACTGATGGCGGGGCTACGCGGGCTCTGGCTGGCTGTCCAGTTCTGCAGTGGCTACCCGAGGCGCGAAGAGCTGTGCGCACGCTCTGCCCAGCGCCGAACCGACTCCACCCTCCTCCGCGCGGTCCAATCCTGATAGTTTTAACTAACCCCGCCCCCAAAGCCCCGCCCAGCTCCTCCCAAGCTTATTTCCCAAAGGAACAGTTTTTCTAACCCACCTGCTCCTCTCTAAAATCTGGCCAGAGCGGACGCCGTCTTGCGGTGGGGGCAGTGATCCTCACGGCCTCCCTCAGATCGGCGCCATGTCGCCCGAATCCAGCCTGTCTCGATCTGATCTGTGATGGGAACGGTACAGTGCTTTTCCTCTCCGAACCTCCCATGACCACTCCCAACTGGTTTTTCTTTTTTTTGAAAAGTTTTTGCTATAGGGCGCATACGCTCGCTAGAAAGACTGAGAACAGAGAGACAGAAAGCGAGAAATCACCCCCCAGGGGGGATGGCCACGCCGCAATCCCTTCTCCTCTCTTCTCCTGTCGGGATCTTGGACACGCATGCACACGCGCCTGGCGTGAGTTTAAACCACCGGGTCCTGGACTCGAACCGCGGTCGGCTACATGACAGTTCAGCGGCATAGCCATTATGCTAACTGCTGGTCCCCTCAACTGGTTCTTGTTTCCCTCGTGGTGTCGCCTGAACCAAACCTGCAACCTTTTGACGGAAGGCAAAAGAAAGATATGAAGGAACTCTTGGGAAAGTGATGCAGGCCTTTTCTTGGGGTCCCTGAAAGGTTCCTGCGGGTGCCAAACCAGAGTCAACACAGTCCAGTTTCTGGAGCCTGTTCACATCTTGCCCCTGCCTCCCGACAATGTGCTTTCTGTTGCCAAGACCTTGGGTAACGTCCCCCAGGGTTTCCACGTCGTCGGGGGGCAGTAATGCTCTTTCATACAAGCTCCTCTTACTTCCAACCTGAGTTAAGCACCCAGCTTCCCATCCCAGTGGGACCTCTGCTCCTGGATTGGTAGTGAAACACCCACCTCTCGGGATCTCAAGTTCCAGTGTTGCCTAATGAGCTGTTCTTAGGAACAGGCGGAGGAGCAGTACTCCGGAATGTCTCCTGAACACGCACGATGCTAAGTGTCTCACTGGCATTTCTGGTTACATCAGCCCCGACATTTCAAGCAGTGTACCCTGGAGCAACTGCTGTGTGCCTCAGTTTCCTCATTTGTAATATAGAGCTAATATAGGGCTGCCCTGCGGCTTCATTGAGTCAGTGGATGTAAACCTCTTGTAAGAGTACTGATGGGGCCAACAGGTGGCATGGAGGGTAAGGCACTAGATCCTACATGGCCGACTGTGGTTCAAGTCCTGGACCCAGAGGCTTGAAAATAATGCTGGTGTGTGCCCAAAATCCTGAGGGGAGAATGGAGACGGGGTTCCACTGTGGCCATTCCTCCTTGGAGGGTGATTTCTCTCTTTCTCCCTCTCCCTCTCTTTCTCTAAGGAGTGCACGTGCCCTATAGAAAAAAAAAAAGGCATGGATTAAGCCTTTAATGGCGGTTAGTTATTAGTATTTTTATGATACTTTTCTAGAGACTTGTCTCTGAAATCCAAGTATGACTCATTCTGTTGGGACCTGCCGGAATGGATTAGAGGAAGTCCACTTTCAGATGTAACTAAATAGGAGAGGAGGGGGCGTGGTGGGGAAATTGCATATAGAAAGAACCAAAAAAAAAAAAAAATCAACAAAGAGGAGGCAAAAGTGAACCAGCATGGACCAGAGCTCAGAAAAGTGAAGGAGGTGCTGCTGGTGGGATGGCAGAGTCACAGGTGCCAGGCCTGTGAGGGGGCAGAGCCAGGAGCCAGGAGCCCGGAGCCCATGGAGTCAGGTAGGAGGTCCTGGAATAACTCATTCCTACTAAAGCTAGGACCTTAGCGGAAGACAGACAAGACAGGCCAAACTGAAAGAAATTTGCTTACAGTCATCCAGTGTTTCCTTTTTTGGGTTTTCTTCTTTTCTCTCTCTCTCTCTCTCTCTCTCTCTCTCTCTCTCTCTCTCTCTCCTTTCCCTGTAAGAGCTGGTATCTTTTGGGTCACTCCATCCACTTCTCCATGGAGGGAAAGTGCAGGTGTTGCTTCTACCTCTGGGGCCAAAAGCGACCTCCCAGCTCCTGTGTGCTCAGTACCAGCTGGAGGCCCAGGGGTACACGACTCTAGCTATGCTGAAGTCTTTCAGACCCTCAGGGCAAGGGCTAGATCCACAATGACACTGCCCTAATCCAAGCCCGGACAGTCACCCTTATCTCAAGTGGGTTTCAGGGCGCTGAGAGCAGCAGGACACTGCAGGGAGGAGACAGTGATTACACATGCGTCCTCCTGCCTGTCCTGGGCAGTTTATGAAAAGCCTCTACAGGTGATCAGATCCCAGGTTTCCCACCTCCCAGTGAGGAGAAAGAGGACTTGTGAGCTTCACTAACTGCTAGGGACAGACAGGGGCAGGTTGATAAGACTCTGGCTGCATCATCCCAGGTGCACTCTTAGGGAGGGGACCTAGGATCCTGTGATGGGGAATCCCAACTGTGCCTGCCCTGGCCCAGCTTCCAGGACCAATTGCACAGGATACCAGCGGAGGCAGAGGCGGGACTCCTGGGCTCTCCTTCAAGGGGGACTCAGGAGAGACTGCAGTAGCGTCTGAGGCCGCTGGAGACCCCTAGATCTCTTCCCCACCCCAGAGCAGGTGCCAATGAACTGCCAATACTGTCCACAACATGCTGGGCAGGACAAGCCCTCGGGGTGGCCCGCACAGCATCCCAGGAGACCCTCTCCCAGAGCTGCAGTTAACCCCAAGCTTATTTAACGACTCTGGGTTGGGGGGTGCAGAGAGAGTTGGGGAGGCAATAAAGGCTCAGAAAAGAGTCGATCTGATCCGTCTACGTTCTGGGAAAACTAATGCCATTAACTTTGGGTGGCAAGGACTGGCACTGAGCTGGTGACCTGATCTGAGAGATGGCCAGCCGTGGGATGTAGTGGAGTAGAAAGGGTGAGTGGGGACAGCGTGGACGCTTCCTTTTGGGGTTAACAGGTCAAAGTAGCGAGTGCCGCTCTGCCATTGGAGCATGGAGGAACTGGGATAGTGCGTGCAGCTGAGCCTGAGGGCCCAGCCACCTCCAATCCTGCACGATTTTCCTTTTCCGCGGCAGCAAAGCTTCCCCAGAATTTGCAGAGAGTGCTCGGAGCTCCTGCGCAGTCCCTTGCTTTCCCAGACCCTCGAGGCCCGTTGGCCCGTCGCTGCATTCTTCTCCCGAACCCCCACGTTCCTCTCGGTCCCCCACCCTCCCAAACACTTTGAAACTACTGATACAAACAGTTCTTCAAACTCTATTTTTCTTCTTCATCTGCCTCGCTCTTTATGGTTATCTAGGTCGCCAAGCTGCCTGGGAAAGGTCAAGGTCAGGAGCTTTGGTCCCTTGTGCCTGGAGGTTCCGGCGCGGTCGAGGATGTAGACAGCATAACCAGCCCGCCAGCAGCTCCTTCCCCTTCCGTAGCAGGGCTGGGGGTCCGTCGGGGCCTCAGGGGAGCCGGCCTGCTTAGGCCTGAGAGCCGGCCCTCCGCAGAGCGTCTGGAGCTGGCGCGAGTCCCGGACGGAAGCCTGGCTTGCAGGAAGGACGAAGAAAGTGGCCAAGGGGAGACACCGGGGGGCAGAGGGTGCAGATTCAAGAAGTGCGGCTCGGGGTCGGCTCCCAGGACAGTCCCGGTGCCACTAGAGGGCCTGCCACGGCTTCCCGATGGCCTGAATGTGCTCCTTGGCTTTCAGGCGCAGCGCCGCGATGCTACTGTTGCGGGGGTCCGCCTCGTCCAGCGGGAACTTGTCCCCGAAGCCAGGGCCGCAGGGGTGGGGT